TCTATCACGTGATCATATACAAAGTGACCTAGGTCACTTCAAAAAAAGGGAAATGACCTTGAAATTTGCCAACACTGGTTGGAAGAGAGTTATAATAAGTTTTTGCAAGTCATAAAATTGTTGATGTCGGTCATTTTCAAAACATTTCATTGTTTCCTTGACCTCATCTAGACTATGAGGATCAGTTCCAATCATTTTTGACTAAAAGGATAATCTCACGCGGTTCACGGTCATCTTCAGCATTTCTTCTTTAATAATTACGGACAGTCATATCATGAAAAAATACTATAGTGATAAACTATATTAGGAATTCGTCATAGGGTGAGTCCGAATCTTTAAAGATTTTGTGATTACAAAAAATTTATAGCGCGGTTGAGGAAAAGGATTTACTTTAGGTTGAAAGAATGAAGAGAAATGAGACGCCATTTTATAAAGAAATTTTGATCGGCACATGAATTGATATTAACTTTCTACTATTCCATTAAATTATTAGAAGATTGTAATTATTATTTCGATCTGAATTAAATAAAATGAATTTGAAAATTTTGATTAGTCACCAAAAAGATTTGACAATCTTTTTCATTTCTCAACTAGGAGTTTCATTAAATCATTGCTAATTTAGTTTTGTCTTTTCATACCAAATAAGTATACTATTCGATAAAAACACTCTCGTATTTTGACACGTGATTGTACTAAAAAATTAGACTTCACGTTTGGAATAGCAATTTACGCCGAGTTAAAAATTCAATTTTTTTGCAAAAGGCAGTAAGATGCTCCGGACTTAACAACGGTCCCCGTTTCCTAGTTTTATAAAAACTTTCATCATTCAATAGAATAGATATAAATAATCAAAAATTTACAACTATTTAAATCAAATATGATGTTTAGAATATAGATCAAAAGATCGGGTCAAAGACTTTTACGATTAAAATCCTACGAAATTTACAAGATAGGCGCAATTTTTTCTGTTTTTATATGGAAATTTCAAAAGTCACGGGACGGGCCGTATCGTTATGAAATTCCCCAGTATTATCCCATTGGAAATTATCGCCTGTCCCGTGACTTCCTTTTTTTTTTTAAACAAAAAAAATAGGCTCGAATTCAAGTTGAACGACTCAAAATTTTGTCCGTGTTCAATCTTTTAACTATGGCTGATTCTGCAGAAATTGCTTCTGTGAAAATGAAACGACTTGTAGACGAGGCTTCTCAAGTCAAGTACATCCCTGGTGGTGCTCTAAAAATTTACTTTCGTTCAGCAAACACGTTGTTACGGCAGGTAGTACTTATTCATTCTTTTTTTCTTCCTTAAAGAAGTTTGAAGTTCTGTCAATTAAGTTTATAGTAACTCGTTCATCATAGTCAAAGCTTTACATGAAAGAGAATGACTTAATGAACGCTTATAAATTCTATATGAGATATGCAACGTAAGTAATAAAAAAATTTTTTTTTAATATTATCAAATCAAATAATTATTGATATATTTTCTTTTCATCGAATATAGATTAGCTCTTGAAAAACTACCGAATCATCCAGAATACAACAAACCAGAGCATAAGGCTGGGCGAATTGAATTAGTTAAAGTGAAGTATCAATAACGAATAAGTTAAATTTTCCGATCAATCTATAAATAAATCACTTACTTCAAATTACTGTTCCTTTTAGAATACGAAAGAAGTGCTTAACGAAATCACACATTTAAAACCTATATTAGAGGAACGTTTTAGACGAATAGCAGAAAAGGAAATTGCTGAACATGAGGCTGCTGAACGTGCGGCTCAACTCCAATTAACGCAAAAACTTGAAAGTTCGCCTCGACCACCTTCGTTGCAAACGCAGAAAACTTATGTTCCTTACGAACATTGGAATTTGGCTGAGCAGTTGAAAGACATACCAAATCAACCGCCGTCCAGTAATTTGTAAGTGTAAATTTTAATTTTTTTTTTTTTTATTATTATTTTTTCTCGATTAATACTTAAGCCCGAAATTTTTTTAAAAAAAAGAACGCATCAGGAACAGACTTACCGTTCGGTAAATAAATTAAATTTAAATAATTACATTTCATTATGCAATTTCTTATCTTCTAAATATTATTCAAAGATTGATTATCCTGGAATCTCAATGCGAAATCAAAGCGATGGGTATATAAGATTATAAATTCTAGTTAAATTTAAATTATTACCAGATTTATATAACTCTCATTATTAATTGTTGTCGACTCGATTAGGTATATTTATCCGTCTATGGGGATGCCGATTATTAAAATACCTACTTCATCTACATCCGTTATATCTTCACCGGCATTACCTCCTAAAGTGAAGTATGAACCTCCGCGACTTCCACCAAAGCCAAATGAATATATGGCTTCTTATAATATTCCTAACGTTGACCCCATTTATGAAAGTGAACCAGGTTCATATTTATTGCTTTTACTATGAAAATATATAATAATTATGATATAAAGGGCTCGTAACTATTTTATTTATTTATTTATTTTCAAATAGAATTTGCCGCTTTCACTGAAGGTGGTGAAGGTCTTCGAAAAGTTTGTCTTCCAAGAAATATATATGACATTTTTATAAAAATTGCAGCCGGCAACACTTTAAAGAATTTAGAAACATGTGGAGTATTGTTTGGAACCTTGGTATTGAATTTTCTTTTTAAAATAAACAAAAAATTGCCTTTAATTTTTAACTTAGCATAACTTTCTTTCCCTAGGCTAAAAACGTGTTTTCGATTACTACATTAATTATTCCTAAACAAACCGCTACTTCTGACACGTGTACTATGACGAATGAAGAGGAGTTGATAGAATATGCTGAAGAAAAAGGGTTAATGCTGCAGGGGTGGATACATGTGAATACTTTGTATTTCAATATGAACAGTTTATCATTATGTCATGGCTAGAATGCTAAAAGATATTATTTGAATTCATTTCAGACACATCCATCACAAACTTGTTTTATGAGTTCGATGGATTTGCATACACACTCTTCTTATCAAGTTATATCTCCAGAGGCAATTGCTATTGTATGTGCACCAAGGCATAATCCAAAGTATGTGATTAACTTTTAGTTGTCTTACATGATGGCCATTTATAATCATTAAATATTTATTCCCTTGTATAGCTTTGGAATCTTTCGATTAACTAATCCACCGGGATTACAGACTGTTCTTCAATGCACACAAAGAGGATTTCATCCTCATGATTCCAACTTACCTATTGACAAAGTTTGCTGAATTTCTTGACTTATGTTTTATTAAATATTTATATATATATATATATATTTTTTTACTAAAATATATTCTCTTATTATAGAACATTGTGGGTCAAGGTCACGTCATTTTAGATAACAATATGAAACTTGATATTATTGATTTACGATAAAAAAGTTTATAAGTTTATAAGCAATTTCTTTATAATATCCCCTTTAAAACGAATACAATCTTTATGTATATAATAACGGTGAGCTTTAGAACGAAATCAATGCGTAAATATTGACAGGGTTAAGATGCTATTGGTACAATATCAATTATTATTTTCTCCATTTTTCTTAGAAAACTTACAATTTAGTCTCTTTTATTTAATGTACTTTTATCTTGTATATAATAGATTCAAAAATTTGAACTATAATTTATTTATAATCAAACGTTCCTAATTTTAGTTAATAGTAATACAAAATAAGAATCATATATGCTTTAAAACTTCTGATCTAATAACATAAGTTATTTACTTAGAGTATCAAAAGTAATGATATCTGATTAAATTATTTAATAAGATTTAATTAAAATTTTAATTATATATAAATATTATTTAAATTATTTTTTTAAAAAAGTTACCTGATTATAAAAGTAATACACTTTATAATTTTAAATTTATTTTTAATTTTTTAAACTTTAAAAAGTTTGATATTTAATTTAAATAAAAAGTTAATAAAATTATTTTAAAAACAAAATAATAAATAAAAGAGATATATATATATATATTAATAAAGTTTCTAAATAATTGCATTTTTTATTATTAAATTTATTTAGATTTTTAGATAAATTCATAAATATAAAAATCAATAAAAAAAAATATTATTATATTAATAATATTAATATTATATTAAAAAAAAATTACTTATAAACTTAAAGATTATACCTTCAATTAATTTTATAAATTTTGTAATATTATTTTTTATTAATAAAAATTTTATTATAATTTTTAATTAATTTATTTATTTTTTTAATTTTTAATTAAATATATTATAAAAAATTCATTATTAATTTAATGTTTATAAATAAAATTTTATTTAAAATTATATTATTTAATATATATAAAATTTTCAACTTTAATAATATATATATATTTTTTAATATTTAAATATTTAAAAATTAATATTAAAATAAAAATAATAAATTGCAAATTTTATTATAATACTATTCAAAGATAACATTTATTTATTTATAATTTATAATATTAAAATCTTTCTTTATAATTATTGTAAAAGAATCAATCTGATATATGTAAATAATACAAATAATCTAAAAATCTGACATGTTCAATATATTTAATATTATTGATATAATAGATATATACAATATATTTAATATATTATATATATAATATATATTTAGATGGCTGTTATTCATACCTCCATTTTTATTATTTATATTTCTTTTGTAATAAATCGTAATATAATTAGATAAAATATTATATAATAAGCATGTTCGTCTTAACAATTTTACTGCATCATTTGTAACTTTACTACACTATTTATTTTAAAAAAAATGACAAAAATATAATCTCATAATGATGCTATTTGATCTGATTATAAATCTCCTGACAATACCAAACTTCTTACAATTAACCTTGAAAAAAACTAGTTTTAAAACTTCATACAGCTATCCTTAAAAAAATTTATTGTTAAAATGCTTTCACTACCTGCTGCTAAATACTAAAGTACTGAAAAGCTTTTTCAAAATACTCAAACATTTGCAAATTCTCAAGGTTATATGTTAGTAAAGAAAAAGACTCGTAAGGATTGTTATGATAAATTAAAAAATATGATTTTACGTTATGATCGAGGAGGTATTTATAATAACTCTTTGGATCTTACTGAAGAAATATATAAAAGACATAAAAATACAAGATTAATTGATTATCTATTTAAATTATATACTACAAGATATAATATAATATGGTATTTAGAAAT